ATAGCACTCTTGGTTGGAAGGTATTGAATAGCTGCTGCTTATGCTTTCCTACTGCAGTCCAGAAATGGTACCTTTTTTCTCTACCTGCAGTGAAAGCCAGTGACTTATCGACAGGAGTGTGCTTAATTCACTGCTGTGAGGAGAGTTTGGAACGAAAGAGCTAGGAAAGGAGGAGGAGGAGTGGAAATACAAGAAAGAAAAATGAGAGTAGTCAAAAGATGATAAAATAAAATGAAACGGGCCCACAGATGTCATTTTTCTTGCTTCCTAGTTCTTTTTTTATGCACAGGGTAGTGTCCATTTTCCTAACAGTTTTGGGTGCATTTTTTACTTTTAGAAATGTTTGCTTAATGAAGTGAGGCTTAACATGACGACTTAAAAATCCCACTGTAATGGATTTATTGTTTTTAAAAAATTGCTTAGCAACCTTTTTTTCCTCAAATATATTTAAAAAAAACAAAACAAAAAGGTTGAGGAATTTGAAATCCTGAAATGTCACAGCAGAGAGTCTGCAGGTGCGCCTAATTGGAGCCATACAGAAAGAGGGGCTGCAAGCACTTCCCCAAGTGTAATACTGTGAATGAGGGAACAGGTGGATCTTTTTCTGTCAGCTTGTCAGCTAACTTAATGGATTCCTCTGGGGTTAATGAGGCTGGCGCCAGGGCAGCAGGGGTAATGGAATGGAATCAAACATGGCAGGTCAGAGCCGAACGCTACCTCATCTTGTTGCCTTTGAAGAAGTTACTAATGTCTTACCAGCTATGAGAGGAATCATCTATGGAAATTATGCTGGGCCCATGATATAAGATTATAGGGGATATTTTATTTAACTTAGTCTAAATTTATGTCATAGTATTAGAAAATAACCACAACATGGAACAGTATCTTTTAAGCAGCGCCTGGTAAGATTAGTGAATTTGTGGTACAGGTGCCACCCAGAGACTCCTGTTAATATTGCAAACTTAGTAGTTTGTTAAACGGTGAAATAAGATAACTGCTATTTTTCTCTTGCAGAGTGTCCTGAAAAAGTCTGCATTTGCACTGTGTGTTGGTACAATTGTAGTAGTGTGGTAACTTTGTTAGATGCATATGCACACTGACAGACAGGGCAGTGCAATGCGAGAAGTCCTTGGCATATCATGCATTAAAACTTTAATATCCACATTAAAATATTTCTTGTGAGGCTTGTGCCTGCCTTTTAATTGTGTTGTTTGCAGTTGAGATTGCCCCTGAATTCAGTTACAACCTTGCCATTGCTTCCCTCACAAGTTTGCTGTCAATCTGCTTGTCTGTTTACTCATGAGGTGCTGAATAATGATAGCAAAGTTAAAGAGCAACTTACTTATTTCAGTTGCAAAGAACTATATTACCTAGCAACTCCAGACAAACCTCTGGACAATATAGAGAGCAAAAAAATCCATAGTCTGCTGGGCAGAAGTTAATTGTAGATTAGGATTATGACACATTTTGGAATGACTTTATTTGGACAAGTATCTAATATCCCTCTGAACAGCTTTTGAATTATTATCATAATTTGTCTCAGGTTCTTTAAAGGACTGTCTTAATTTTTGTTAAAGGTTGATAGGGGGTTTTAGTATATTTGTTTCACCTTGGATGTCTGAGTTGGGCAAACTTCTTGCTTTCCAATACACCTGAGGTTGCTTTAAAAAAAAAAAAAGAGAGAGAGAGAAAAAAGAAAAGAAATACTGTAGATCACTAGTATCTTCCTTGATGTCTTTCAAGACCAAGGCAGCTTGTTCATCCTGTTTTTGAAATGTGCAGATAAACCTTGCATTAACTTCCATGGATTCCAGGCATTGGCACTTTATTATATATCATTAACTTAGAACTCTACTAATGAAATTTAAATTATAGTAGTATTGAATGAGCCTGAAGAGACCCTGTACCAGATAAGCTAGGGACAGACATTCAAAAAGCCTGAGCCTGAATTGATTCAATATTTGCAGGTTAGTGTAACCCGCCTAGGCTAAACTGGTTTGTAACCATTCAGACATCCCCTTTGGACTGAGGAAATGCAGGCACATGCCTGCAGTGGCTCAGGCTAGAAGTGTGTGTGTAGGGGGCACTAGAGTAGTCTTTCCTTCCTCAATACTGAGCTAAGGGGGGCATGGCCAGGCCCCAGCAGGACTCTCTGATTAGGTCGTCCCCTCACCCCCTGCCATACACACTGTTGATAACAGAGCATTGAGTTGCATAGCAGGAAGTTACACAGAGAGTTAGCATTTTTCAGCCCATCAAACAAAACAACAACTGTCAAGCTGTTCTTAAACAGCTTTTTCCAAGGAAGGAACATCGGGACATTACCAGCTACCTGTTGATTAGCTCCAAGAAGCCCTAAGCTGACACTGTGACGTCTACCTTTGTCCTGTCTCCCACTGCACAGACCATAGCCAGCATGTGGTATGCTAGCTAATGCTGAGAGGCCTCTGTGTAAGGCAGAGGGGAGTTGGGGAAACCCTGCTTGAGCAGGGAGTGTGTGTGGTGGGGGCGGAGCAGGAAGAAGCCAGGCAGACACCATTGTACTTGTAGTCTCTGCTAGAGCTACAACCAGGGAACAGAGAGGTGTGGCCAGCCCTGCTGGGCTAGAGCAGAGCCCCACTCAGAGTAGTAAAGCATCTGAGATGCTGGAGGACTCTGATTTAACTTAAACCAGGAAGGGGTCTGGGACAGACATTGCATAAACTGATTTGACCCCAATCAGTTAAGTCTGATACTACATTCAACCAGGTTTATCTCAAACCAGTTTCAGGCATTTTCAAATTGGTTTATGTGCACTGAACATCTGTTCTGTTACAGGTTTAAACCAGTTTCTGATCACTTAAACTGGTTTATGTGTAATATTTGTCCCTAGCCATAGTGTAAGGTCCTAACCTTGCCAACATTTATGCATGTGCTTAACTTTAAGCAAGCAAGAAGCCCCACTGAAATGCACAAGTGTTCTCAGAATCAGAGCCAAAACCTACAAAGTGGAATAGCAAACAAGCAAGGTGGTGGTTAGCTGAGTTTGGATGTGTGTTTGGTTGGGTCTTGTATAACTGGGGTAAAGAGGGTGAAGGGAACTGTAGGGAGGTGAGTTAGTAGTTTTCTTTTCTTTTTTTTTTTTTTTTTT